GGGCACAGAGAAAGGTTGCTATTGTTACGGCCTTGGAAAGAGGTGTGCGGCGGTGGTGTGCGGCAACCAGCCTAGCAAGCATAATCTGAATAACGCAACAGTGGGTTGGTAGGGGGCAGGAAGACCAGCTTTCTCTCTCCCCCCCCTCCCCAATCCCTTCAAATCCATCCCAATTGTTTTGCTGCCTTCAGTTCCGCTGGATGGGAACAGAATGCCGGAATGCGTTACTAAAAAGGACGTTGGTTGTTGGGAGACACCATTTGATTTTTCCTTTGATTATGCCAGTTCTCCAGCCTGCATTATCAGAGTCTCTTCGTCCTATAAAATACGTCCACAGAAAGGAGATTATTGCGATTCCTCTTGTTTCCCAGGGAGGACTAAGAGAATGGATAGCTCAGGGGTTCAAGTCGCTGGCCGTGGAGGCCGAGGTTGGGAGTTCGATTCGCCCACTGGGCGTCTTATGAGTACAGCCAGCCTGGGTAACCTTGGGCCAACGGCATAGTCGTTCCGGGGCATGCCTGCCAGAAGAAAGGAAGGGGAAACCACTTCTGAGTTATTCTCTACCTGGGAAACTCTGAAAAATGTTGTAAGCCGCCCAGAGACCTTTGGGTAGTGTGGGCAGCATATTAATTAATTAATTAATTAATTAATTAATTAATTAATTAATTAATTAATTAATTAATTAATTAATTAATTAATTAATTAATTAATTAATTAATTAATTAATTAATTAATTAATTAATTAATTAATTAATTAATTAATTAATTAATTAATTAATTAATTAATTAATTAATTAATTAATTAATTAATTAATTAATTAATTAATTAATTAATTAATTAATTAATTAATTAATTAATTAATTAATTAATTAATTAATTAATTAATTAATTAATTAATTAATTAATTAATTAATTAATTAATTAATTAATTAATATGCTTCTGCTTTCTTGGAGCATCATAGAACAAGTTGACCAATCCCAGTCACACAGACTGAATCGGCTCATAAAATTTCACCAGGCTGGTCTTCCAAGTAAAAAGGTCCACTTGGAATCCTGAAGTTGACAAGACGTGTTTTCCTTGTCTAAAGCTTGAAATAGTGTTTATTAGAATAAATAGTGTCAAAAACCTTGATCCTTCGCTGTTTCATTAAAAGTTTTTACTCGGAATCTAACCCTCTGAAGTTTTCTGAGCCAGTTGAGTCTGTTTGATTGGGGCTGGTTGAATAAATAAATGTTTCTTCATTTAAATTTATTATTTTCTCATGCCATATAATTGTACAGTATATACATTTATGATGGACAGCTCCCCAGCATGGGTTTGCAGGTCTTCTGTTGCCACCTTGAAGGAAA